TTGCTCCTCTCTCTCCAAGCAGAACCCATCACCAGCTCCCTGATAATCCCTTACCTGAGCCAGCTCCATTGCAGCCATTTCCTTCCCCCTGGGAGGATGGGATGATCTGGAGCGAAACGTGGACGTTATTCTGTAGCCTGCCAGGGAGAGAAGGCCAATTTGTGAGAATTCAGATGGGGCTTTTGTCCATTCCACAAGCCGATTCCTCCCCCAGATTTTTCCCTGCTAATGGACATTCTAGGTTCTGCCACACTGCGAAGCAGAGTGACTTTATTCCAGTACATGCCTAGCCCCCTCCCAGCAGGGTGTAACCCTCTGATACATGGTGAAACCCTCCCAGTGGCAATCTCTCTCTGTTACACTTGTGGGGAAAAAGAACTAGGTAGCCTTTTTAATGACAACCAGAGTAAAACCGAAGGCCCAAATTCAGGCCCTCTGACAAAAGCTGACTGCACAGACGGCCTTTACATAAAACAGTACAGGCCAGAACCTGAACAAAGCTAAGCTGTGCAATTCTCTGCCAAATACAGTCATGGGCTATGACCTGAGGAGGAAGGGGAGGAAGTCACGCGAAAGGCCTTAGCAATGTGATAACCGCTTATAGATAAAAAAACATGATAACTGCTTGCTGATGAAACATAGTAACGGCTTATATGAAGCAATTGCTTCTAGTAAAGGCCAACTCCTCCAGCTACCAGCCACCAGCCAATCATATATCATCTTTGGGCATCCTGTAATAAACCCCCAGACCTCCCCGGGAAAACAATATGTACCCTGACAAAAAACAACACCCCCGCTGGTGCCAAGTACCATCCATGTCAAAACCACCAAGAAACCCCCCACCCAATAGGCACCCAATTCTCGTAAATAATGAGGAAGCTACCGGGGAAAAGGGACAGACCCCTACTCTTATTTTCGTATAAATTATGTATTATTTGTTCTATGCTTGTGGTTTGATGGAATAAAGCAGCCTGCGAGCTGCTGCTAGGTGTGACAATTTTCGGACTGTCGCCCCAACGCGTTGGTATGTATTGCAATAAACTGGCCTCAGGCTTGAGTCTGTGAACTAAAATCAATGCGTGGGTGACTTTTTCCACGACAATTTGGGGACTCGTTCGGGATCACTCGATATCTCTCTGGGCAGGAGGACCGCAGGCCGCTTCCACACTGACCCCAGGTGCCAGGTAAGAGACCATTGTCTCTATTTGGGCTTCGGTGGGAAGTTGCCTGTAGGCTCTGGCTCGGGGCGGGTACGCTGTGATCTGAACTTTGCTAAAACAGACTCAATTGACTGATGATTGCTCTGCTGGCACACTTACTTGGCAGGCTGCTGTTTAATCTCTTGCATCACGCTGCGCTATCTCTATCATTGTTTATTTAGGCTATAAGCCTGGGGGGGCGTCGGGAACTGTTTTGTGTTATGTGTACACGAGGGTCTTAGACCCAACCGTTTCCTTGGGACAGCCTCAGTGAAATTACTGGGACATGCGTTTGGCAGTTAAACACTTTTAGAGTGCCAACCCAGTATAAAAACAAGTTTCGGATGAGATTATTCAGGCAGGAACAGAGGGTGAATAGGCTGGGTGGTCTCCCCAGGACATAAAGGAAACTGTCACTGATTCCAGGGTGGCTGCTGCAACTCGGGTGGAAAGGCCCGAGACTAGGGATAGACAAACTGACAGGGAAGCATTTGATGCTTTCTACCTACGTTCGGGCATAGCTCACTGTCCTATTAAGGGAGGGGCTGTGCATGGACAGCGTGAGGAAGTGTAGATTAAGATTTCTGATCCTGATGAGAACGGGGAAGTCGTTTGGCCCCCATGAGGACAGGGAATTTGTTTATTATGTGATGAGACCCGGCGAGAACAAGGAGTACGCCAAGCTCCTGTGCTTTGCTTTTATAGCTTCCTACTTTGTGTTAGTCAGCTGCTTCCTGTGGCTCGGCCTTCAGGGACTGGTCCCTCCAGAGGATGATTGACCGGGTGCTGGGTGACCCTGGAAAAGGTGGATCCTACAGTGGGTGGGGCAGAAATTCAAGGAATCCCTGGATCCCTACTGTGAAGTAAGCTGGGCATCCAGGGAGTCCCGGAGCAGCCGAGAGGGGTTGGCAGGGTTCCCACCAGCAATAGGCTGGCAGTGTGACAGAATGCCGTAATGAAGTCCCGAATTAGATGTGCTGTGTGATTGTGGGCCGTAAGGTGATCCCAACCCTGTTTCCCTTGAAGTGCTGAGGAGCCCCTCCTTGCTCGGAGAGCAGGGAGGCCCTGGGAAACCACCCACGTACTCCTAGGCAGTAGAGTAACCCATCCTGTTCTCTTGAAGGCGGGCCGGTGCTCTCTGCTTGGGGAGGGGTGTGCAGGGACTGCGCCTTTCCTGACCCTTCTGTGTGGTTGACCTACGACCAAAACCTTACCCCAGATCTTCCTTTTGAAGCCGTGGGCTCCCTCCCCTTGCTCGGAGAGAGGGGAAGTCCCTGGAAATCGCCCACCGTACCGGAGGCAATAGGGTATCCTACCCCGTTCCTTTAAAAGATGGGCCGGTGCTCTTTGCTGACAGGGGGTGTGTGCGAGGACCTCCCTTATAAATCCTCCCCATTGGTGTGAATGTTGAGGAGTTGGCCTCGCCTGGAAAAGGAGGCTTGGGGAGTTGGCCTCGCCTGGAAAAGGAGGCTTGGGGAGATGGCCTCGCCTGGAAAAGAGACCGAGGCTTACCGCAGTGTTCTAGTGGCTAGGATTTAGAGAAATATTGCTTTTAATAGTCAGGAAGTTTTTTTTTCTAGCAAATTGCTTCGTTAAGTACTTAACCCTCACTCATGGAAAAAGGGGAAGGGTTGCATTGTCCAGATCTAATTCACTATATGGATATAGAATTAAGGTGAATCAAGCCTTTCGGGTCATCCCCGGCTGGGGTGCCTCATCTGGTACCGACAGAGGCACTACAGGTCTGCCGGGCTTGATGTAGAGCCCTGGGGGGGGGGGGGGGGAGAAGGGGAGATCCACTCTTTGTTTACAAGTGACTGGTTCTGCTTGTTTAACTGCTCACCTGTGCCTCAGTGAGAGAACTCTGATTGTGCCATCTCTGGCCAGATCGCTACGCCCGGCAATGACAGAGGCACTGCAAGTCTGTCGGGCTTGGGGTGGGGCCGGGTGAAGGGAAAAGAAACGCCATTCCTTGTTTATGAGGGGCTAGGTCTGCTTAACTGATTTAACGCCATAATATTCACTGAACAGTTAGGCAATACAGGGTTTATCACCATAATACTGTCTTGTTTGATCGTTTAGGGAGTGTTGAGGCAAAGCCATCTGACCATGGGAACCTCACAGGCCAAGCAGGTCCCAGCACCGGAAAACGATACTCCGGCCGCGTATATGCATTCCAACTATGGGCCCCTGACCTGCAAATTTTTAAAGGAGTGGAATTGGAACACAAGGGATAATCCAAGTTTGCAGTTCCTGGGGGAAGGGACTTTTGATTTTAAAAAGATTTTGCACCTTTGGGGCACCTTATTAGTTTACAAGGCAAATCAAACCCAGTGGGATGCATTTTTTAATTGGTATGGGGAAATGGAAAAGCGACGTTGAGAGTCCATTCAACGAAGTCTAAATAACTCCCATGAGAAGGTTAAGGCCCAATTAGAAGAAGCAAAAAAACAATTGAAGGAAGTTCAATCTAAACCCTTAACTCCCTGCCTGCCCCTATGTTCCCCGTTAGACAAATATGTATGCACCGCATCTTCGACCAGCCAGACCAGTTGGCTGAGATGCTGCGCATATCTCCTGGCCCAGCCTACCATACTAGGCAGGAAGTGGCCCGCTGGGACAAATTAAAAAGGGGGGGGGAAGGGAAGAAGTCCGCGCCAGTAAATTTAGAGAAATGGAGGAGGATATCTTAGGAGATGTAAGTAAGGCTCAAAGGGAAGGATATAGACTTTTGGGCAGTGTAGTGTGGTTTATGTTTATTTGTTTTGTTTTTTTGTAAGTAATATTGTGGCAATTTCACAATTTTGAAGAAAATGTTTAAGAAACGGGAGCAGGAAGGGTAGGGGCTAGTTAAAAAGCCCACCCTCCTTGCTAAATTGGTAGTGGAACAAGGCTTGTGCCCATAAAAAGGAACTGTTTATTGGAAAAAGCAGGATCGGGCCCAGACAAGCAACAAATAGAAAAACTGGAAAACAGGTTGGGTACAGAAAATTAAAACAGCACTCTCAAATATTACAGCAGCAGTAACATCAGGAGAAAAAACATTTAAGACCCCAGAAGGGGGCAGACCTTTGGGACCCCTCTGAAGATTGGAAAGGGGAATATTTGGGTAAATTCCTCCTCCCGGGGCCAAAATGCCATTGAAACAGTTAACAACAGTGCCTGCTTCTGCCTCAGATCTCCAGGCCATGGCAAAATGGCTGGAGATTTTAAAACAATTTTTTTTTCTAAATGGAGTGTTAACGCCCTTTTACTGAAAGAAAGGGAGGATTTACACTCACAAGAAATGCACCATTTAATTAGCATTTGTGCAGCCCCAAGTACCAAACACACTGTGGCAGAGACCAAGCAGGTTCTGCCATGGTGGAAGCACTGTGCTAATTTGTTTCCAAGCTTCTATCTTTCAGGCTCTAAACCAGAACATCAGGAGAGCTGATACCAGCTGAAGAGTTATAAAATACCATGGTTATAGTGTCATGACAAAGTCTGTGTTCAGTGTTCTGTGTTGCATGTTCTGTGTCTGTCTCTAGTGGTGTCCTGTGCTAGCATTGGGTCCAGAAAAAGAGGGGATACTACACTAGACAGGGCAAATGTCTTTTCCTCTCTCTACTTCCCCCATGTCCATCCAATTTATCAATCACCACTTGTGTCCAAAGGACTTTGGTCCCCAGGGTATCAGGTTTATTTTTTGTTAGGTTCTCTAATAGTCATTTTGTTGTTAATTTTTGTTAATACATTTGTATTGTTAGTTACATTTGCTTGTATTGTTAATTCCACATTTTCCTCTATGCACTCTGGTTCTACTTCCCCAAGCCCTAAAGGGTAGCTCTTGGGCCCCCATAACCTGCAAAACCTTGGCCCATAATTGAAGGGCCCCATCTTTCAGGTCCCCAGAAACCTCTTAAAAACTGTTA